GTCCATTCTTTCGGTCAAATTGAAGACTTTGTTCGCCATAATTATTACGGATTGGTTGGTCTTCGGACTCATTCACACATCAATTATATTAAGGTTTAGATTTGAAAGTTTTGTTTCATGAAAACATATATTGAAAAAAGTACTTTTATATTACTATAGACACAAGTTATTGATATTTATTCAGTAATTGATTCCAAGAGTACTAATAAACAGGTGATTGAATTACGAAATAAAGTGTTAAATGTGGCCAAAAATCACAAGAATTTCAGATTTCTTATATCGGATGCAAAGATTTTCAGTTCACAACTAATTCAAGACTTTGGGTTTAAATCAATGAAACAAATTATGGCTTCTCTTCCTATAGTAACGGCCGTTGATATCAAACAAAACAGATATATATCTAATGAAACGTTTTCGGAAAACAATGTCTTAAAGTTTGTCAAAACATTGACAACAAATAGTCATTTGTCTCCATCTAAGCCTAAATCTCAATTGTCTAACAAAAGTAATTATTTATTAACACTATTTGGCGTAGACTTTGCAAAACCGGACCTAAATTTATTTAAACAAATTGTAAATAACTTATTTATTTTAAGCCATTTTGTAAAAATTTTATTTGTATCTTAAAAATCACTTTATTTATTAAATTGTTTATTTTTATGTAAAATAAAATATCTTATTTATTACATATTACTTGTATGAATAAAATAAAATAAAATAATATTTTACATAAAATTAGCTTAAGTGGAAGGATAGTCAGCGTCAGCCGATTTATTCTTGAAGATCGCGGTTCCGATCCATTCGTCAAAAGGATGTATCTGTGTATTTGAATAGCTTGCAACGCGATGTCCATAGCCGTGACCTGGATGTCCGTACCCGTGATGTCCGTGATGGCCATGGTGATCATGATGGCCATGATGACCATGGTGACCATGATGCCCATGGTGACCATAATGCCCATGGTGGCCATGATGTCCATGACCGGGGTGTCCGTAGCCATGATGTGGATGGCCATAAGGACCATACGCGGGATGTCCGTAATGGGAGTGATGTCCCCCTCCGTAGTCGTAATCCATGTATTGATAACTTAAACCAATGGATACAATAAAAAGGCCACAAATAAAGCATAAACTTAATGAACCCATTTTTAAGAAGTCAAATGTGTTTTGCCATTAATTAATTAAAAAATGAATACCTTTTGCGAAATTTCAAATTAAAACTGCAAATTAATTTTCTATTAGAGTAATTCATAGCAATTAATTACAAACTTATATTTATCATTAATGCGGTTAATATAAATTTTTTGATAATGTATTTCTAGCATTAAATTCAAGCATTAAATTATGATATTTAAATATTTTTAGAAAACACATAAAACTACTGTATATCTAAATTATTTACCAACATGAATTTATGTTGTTCATAGTTAAATTTTTTACATGTTTTAAAAAATTTAACAAAATTTGATGCTTTTAAATGTGCTTTATTATTCTATACAAAAAAAGTTTTACAATAAAATTTTTGGATAATTTTACAAAAACAACACGATTTTAAAGAGAAATTTTGAAATATTATTTGCTGTCATTACAAATGCTTAATAAATGAAATACATTTAGAAATTTGTGTCCAACCGTATGTCCATTGTATGCCATGATTACCACCATCCTTTACCATGTCCATAGCCGCCCCAACCGTGTCCGTAACCTATGTACAACATTATTTATATAAATTGGCGCTAGACTAAATATCTTATTCATACCTCCATGTCCATATCCTCCCCAATATCCATGAACTATAGAATAAATAGATTAATTATATTTAAATTTATAGTTAAATTAATTAATATTATTTTCAAATTATTAAGACATTAAATACCGGGAGCGTAACCATAATGAGATACAGAATAATGTGGATGTGCTATCTTATAGCCGTATCCAACGCCACCCCACGCCGGGACGCTATAGGCGATGGCCACCAAAGCAAACAATACAACGAGTGCCTAATATATAGAATAATGAAAATAAATCATAATTTGCAAATATAATTGAAAACTTACCAAGACTTTCATATTTGGTTATTTAGCAGTATTTATGACAACAAAGACGAAATCTTTATGTGAATTCTTGATGAAAACTACAAGAATTGTGAGCCTTTTATACTAAATAAGTTGACTACAAATAAACCTTGGATTTATAAAATTAGACTAAAAATTCAAATAAATCAGTTATAATAAAATACTTTTTTTTTAATTCATACAAATCTAATACATATATCTATTTATTTTATTGTTATTTCTGTATTTAATAAATAAATAAAACAAATCACATCAAAATTTCAACGCAAGTGATGAAAAAATTAATTATTATTTTGACAATAATTCTCGTTAAGAAAAAGCAAAAGAATTTATGGTTTAGCCCTGAATTTAGTTGATTTAAATAAATTCATTATTGAGATTACAAATACATTAAATAAAACTAAAACAACAATTCATTACAAATTACTTAACGATTATGAGGTAAGATATACTCCTATTCCGTACGGTATATGACTATAGATGTGATGGCATAGGAGTTGTGTAATGATAATTGAGAGGACGCACCCATACCTAAAAAGCAACAATTCTTGAACCACAGTCTCCTTGTGCTCGACATTTACAAGAAAAAGCAAATTAACGATAAATTTTCCGATCATTTATGAGACAAATGTTCGTCATTTCAATGAAATCTAGTTTATTAACTACTTTTTTCATTCAACAATACGCTTATTTCAATCCCTTTACTCTCTATTCATATGTATTCAATGTTTGCCTTAAATTATGCTACTTTTTGATGAATAACACGAAATATTTATAAATTTATGCATAAAATTATATTACGATTAAATGTAAAATTTAATATTCATTTCAATTAAATATAACGATGACATCAGACATAAAAATGTACTCAATCTCTGGACAATTGTTTTAAAGTTTAAAATTTAAACAAAACAATTATTTCATTGTACAGACAAGTGTTAGCATAACTTCAGCGATAGATCCCAAAACATTTGTGATCAGAGAAGACAACTGACATCAGAGGAAGTAATCGACAGATTTTTATAAAAATAAATTAATCATTTCTAGAAACCATAACTTAAAATAAATATTTATTTTGAATACAATTAGAAAAAAGGAAATGAAAATAAATAACAATATTTAATTTTAATTAATTATAATTTTAGAGTATATTTCAATGAATATTTGGTCTAAATTTTATCAAAAATTTATGAACAGACACAGCACTATGCATTTATTCCTATAAACAATTAGTAATTAATTAAATAATATAAATTACCGACATTTTTGTACCAATAAAACCAAAATTTAATTTATTAATCATCAAAAAGACTTATAAAATAATAAAATGAAGAGATTTAATGGCGAAATACAAACAAAGTGAAAAAATCTTAGTTATCGAAAAATATAAAAACGTAACACTTTTTTATGTCTCATTAATTTCATCGGATGTTAGGATTATTTAATCAATTGTTATATTAAAAACTTTTTGTCAGACATTTCAATACAATATGAAGGCGTCGTGTCGTTGATCTAAAGCTCCTCTTTGATCGCCTTTTGATTGCCACTCCTGTCGTAACCGTTCAACTCGTCGGTCGCGTGTTTTGATATGTAATTCAAGAAATCCGATGCCTCTCTTCCGCCCTCGTATTTCTGGATCGACTTATCCTTTGGATACCAATACAGAGTCGGGAATCCGTGCACAAC